CAAATCAGATAGAGAAAAGGAATGTCCCCTGATACAAAGTATCTATGTACTGCTAGATCATTTCCCTTAATTTATGTTGCATTATTGATGTACAGAATGCTGTACTTGAATAATGTAACAGTAAGTCTCTTACAGCAAGCACCAGCTTTAATGTGTGTCTATAAAGAGAAGAAAAATGTATTTCCCAAGTCCAGCAGTTTTCAAACAATGTATTTTCAAGTTACAGGGATGCTCACCATGAGGAATTTAGAATTGACATGAGAAGGGAGGGGGACAACATTTCTTCTAAAATGTTAATGAGCTTCTGCATGACAAAGTGAAAATAATCAACAAATCTGACATATGAACAAATGCTATGAATATTCAGGAAGTTTAAGCTGCTGATTCAACAGTCTGTCAGAGTGTGCAACTTCTGCACTGATCACATAAGCTATTATTTTTCTTTTCATCACAAGTACACTCCACAGCGGTGTTGTTGTAACATACACATTGAATTGCAAGGACTGTAATTCATCCAGATGGCAGGATGCTCTGGCATTGTTGTTCCTATGGTACAGATGTTTAACAAACCAGCCATATGGCTCCAATGAGATGGCCCTTTCAAAGATCACAAAAGCTATGAGACATGTAGCCTTGGAAAAGGGAACACAGTCGTGAAGTATGAATGTTCCTATTGCTACAATCAAAGCATACATCATGCTATGAAGTTGGTGTGTCTGATGGAATGGCAGGATTTATGAAACATTATTTAAAACCCCCAAAAGTATCAGGTCCTAAATTTGCACAATTTCACCAAGTCAGCTATTAACAGCACATTCCTCATTGGTTCTGAAATCCATTAAAGGTTTCAGACATAGGCTGAAAAGATGGGCATATAACTACCTGCAAATATAATAATGTCCAAGTGAACCACCACTCTAGGTGACAAACTGAGATCCAACCAGTGAGACCACGAATTTCTCAATCAAAAGATGTGTCAAAGTCAAGGAGCCCTGAATGATGGTTGTGGCAATTGTAATGTGGAAAGTTGAATGTTGAGAAACAATCTGAGATCAATAACATCTTGGCCGAGAAAGGAAAGACCCATGGTCAATCTATAACTCTACTGAATTTTGGCAGGTTTGAATGATAGATAAGTGGCACTAGTAAGATTGTTTAATCGCTAATCCTGTCATTATTACATCCTGTCACATTGCATAGATTTAGACATTAGAAGAGGGTAAGGTAGCAGAGTGAAAAATAAAACTGTTAAAACTTAAAATCTCTCAATCTGTGAAGAAAAGGTGAATTCCCAAGTTTGTGTTTCATGCTGGTTTTTTTCTGCCAAGAACAGCAGATGTTGCAGTCCTGTCTTCCTTTTCTCTGATGCTTGGGTCTCTGACCCTTTGTTACCTAGAAGAAACCTCTCTTTTATATAAATCTGTTGTGCAAGAATAAGATTAATATGGACAGCCTGAACAAAGCATTGGTCTCCCAGACAAAAGAGTATCCATTTAGTACACAGGGAATCTTTCCACCTGACATGTTCTTAAAGGGAAGCATTCTATTACCATCTACTCAACGGGTAAAAACTACAGAAGAGCCACATAATATTCCTTTTCTTGGTCTTTTTTTTTGACCAGCAAAGTGGTCAGAGGTGCTTTAACTTCCACAGATACCATCAGACAATTTGATTTTAAAACATCCTTATGCAAACCTTGAAGGGCAGTTGAACCCTGTGGTGGTTTAAGGAAAAGATTTTCTGCAGTTTATGCATTTGCTCTGCCAAAAGCTTACCTTAGCATACAAAGTACAGGCAATCACAGTTGCTCTGATTTACTACCCAGCCTGTGCTGTTTGTTTTCAGGGACAGCTCAGTGAGAAGCTATGTCATGTACAAGAACATTCAGAGAAGGGGAATCAATTTGCAAAACTACCAGAATGGAAGCAACCATTTTGAAGACATCAATGCAAAAAATATGCAGATGTGTATTTGCAGCATTTTTCAGGTGGAATTTTTGGAATACCATTACCACTTCAAGATATTCCAAGCCTTTTATGGGCATAAAGGCAATTTCATAGCCCAAAACTGCTTAGCCTAAGTGCTAATGAACTGGCCAGAGGTATAACTTACCAGTCAACAAATTAATTATTTGACCTTGTGCCTGAATTCCACATTTTCTGGGGCAGCAGCATATCCAGAACTCAGAAAGGCAAAGAAAACACCAGAGTGGCAGAGCAAGAAGTTCTGGGTCATCCTGATTACATAGAACTGAGGGTAGATTTTCTTAGACCAAACCCATTTAGTAAGTCCCAACAGGAGAACAAAGATAAAACTGTATATCTGACATTGCTTTAAAAATAATAAATGAGAAGGGAAAAGATCAAAACAGTCACTGAAAGGCTTCACTCCTGCTTTAAAATCCAAGAAACAGTCATTAATAGAGATTTAAACTCAGCCTTCTCTAGTCTAAACATGTCACTGTTAATTACAAAGCTATTTAACTTTTGCAAGAAATAAAGACTGCTATTAATGAAAGAAGAACCAATTAGCCTTTAATCTACACAATGTTTTTTAATCAAACTTTCTTTTGATCATCAGGCTCACTGCGGGATGTATTCTCTCCTCCCCATGCTGTAGTGGCTTCCATGATTGCTAATGGAATAGATTTTAAAGGGCTGGCTGGGTTTGGAAAACCTTCTCTGCAGGGCTGGAGCTTCCTTCCCCTCTTTGTGGCAGTGGGGCTTAGCAGAAGGATGCTCATGTTGAACAGTGCTGCCCTATGGAAGCACAGGAAAGTGGGATGATTTTGATGGTGTCTCCTGACCTCCCTCTTGTAGCTGCTGCCATTAAAGGAAAAGGCACTGAACATGTCTGGAGGAACGTGGGACAGTAGTGCTAGACTAGCTTGGTAGGCAACAGAAGACAGCATCAGTTTAAAGAAAAGAAACAAGTGGGTAAGGGAAGGTAAGGAAAGAGGCAAAAGCAGGGCGGTGCCTCCAGGAACAAAAATGGAATTCACTGCTGACTGTAAAGTATGATGAATGGAAGAACTTGCTTGTTGGCACAGGAATATGTTGTGAAAAGAAGAAAACAAAACTAACAGGACAAGGGGTATGTCATACCTAGAAACAGGAGGTATGACATGAAAAGGATCACAATAGCAAAATATTGTTAAGCCTTCAAACTGATGCTTGCAGGGTCAGAGAGTTTCAATGAGGTTTTTTGGTTGGTTGATTGGTTTTCCTTTGTGGCTTCTTGTGGTATCAAAGCAGTAAGATCATAACGGAGAGCTTCTTCCTTTACATCATTTCCCTTTCAGCAGCATTTGCTGCTCAGATCTCCCAGGAAGGAGGATAGATAGAAAATGGCCTTGAGGCATGCACTTCACATTTCTGACCATGCAGATCATTCAGTGTAAGAACCTGACTCCTGCACATGTGAACCTAAATATCACCCACACTGTTTCAAACATACAACTGGTCTGACCAGATACCTGCTGTCTTGTCCTGCATTAGCAGAACTCGGGTTTATGGTCTATGCTGTTCTTTCTCCACAATATTTGTCTGGCAGCAGCAGGACTCTTGAGGATTAATACTAACCAAAAAGCACTTCAAAATAAATATTAATATCCTCATAAAATCAGAAGATCTGCAGAGATCTCCTGTTGTTGCAACCAGTATGGCAATTAAAAACCAGAAAATAAAAGACATTGATAGATTGCAGAGAGAAAAGTGAAAATAAGTATGTTCTGTGCCAGACAGGATTTTGAGTCACAAAATCAAGTTGATAATAAAAGTGTGTGGAGCAATTGCTGAAATGATAGTGACCCCAGAGGAGTTTAAAGGTAACTACATACTGAACATAGGAAGGGCTTCAGCAATTGGTCATGCTCAATGCTTTTCAGAACTTGAGTAACAGCACTTCACATTTCAAAAGATCAAATGATTGCTCCCTCTGTAAAATCAGGCTAATTCTACCAGCCTTATCTCAAAGGGTTGGTAATTTTGCAGAGTCCAAAGCCCCCTCAAAGTAACTGTTTGGCATAAAGGTCATTTAAAATGAGATTAGGGCCTATTCATGTTTCTGAGGTGCTCCTGTACTACATTTTAAATACAATATAGTTACTCAGATAAAAACACCAACACAGCTAGATACAAATAGCTTTAAAGCACTGTGTCAAGATGTATAAAGTTAGCTGGATAACTGTATTACTTTAATATCTAAATTATTCTGTGGCATTTTAAACCTGTCTATAAAATTTGGATTCTGATGTTCATCAAAACCTTCTTATGTTTTTTCTTATGTCATAATCCCATTCTAACAAGATGTAGACAAGAGATTCCCAGCTCCGCTTCCTGAGCAAAGCTGCAACACTGATAACACACATTAATGTACAAGACATTATTAACTAACAAAGCTTTTAGGTGTTCTTGAATGATCCATTTCACTTGTTGTCCCCCTCAGACTGACCTAACACACTCCAGAGCTTTTTATTGACTTAAACAGTGCAGACAGGACAAAGTTCTGACATTTGTGAAGCTTTAAGAAGAGCAAAATCATTGACAGGAACCATGAGAAACAGTGAGATTTTAAATGTTTGTACCTGAACAAAGAACTTGCCAAATTAAGAGGCAGAAACTTTATGCTGCTTAATAAATTCTGTGACAATTTACATGTAAGTGTGGTTTTAGTTCCCCTAATTCTTTAACATTAGTACATACGTGCATAAATTACTCCCCAAAGTATGATCTGATTCAATAAAGCGCTCAGGAATTTGATTAACAGCCTCCCCAATGATTTCAGCAAAATTTTGCTTAGGTACTTGGAATACACATACTGAACTAACCTGAACTGTTCAGTATCTGCAATCCTCACTGAAACCAGTGGCACCTGAAGGTTCTGAGCAGCTCTGAAAATCAGCCTTTAATATTACTACCACAATACATCTTTAATGAGCCTACAGCTCCTCCAAAAATGACTTTTAATTGTCAGATCTGAAGCAAAGCTCTGTACATACGTATACAGTAGTCTCCACTTTCGTAATATCCAGGGCAACACTGCGATCTTCGCCGATACATAGTTCTTAGTCCTCTTCGATAGGCTGTTTTATAACTTATTCTAAATGGCAAGACAGAAAGCCATTTTACAATACAGAAAATCAATGCCTACTGTTGGAATTATATTTGTGTTAAATTATAGTAAGGATAGCATTCAATAATTATTTAAAATGCATGAAAGCTTTTGATATTAAAAGCCACAATAAAAAAAAATCAATATTTGTTTTGAAACTTGAAATATAACTTGTATTATAAACACAGTACTCGTGACAGTCGATCACTGCAGCTCTTCCTAGGACTGCTATCTTAAACCATTTCCCCAGTCCTAAAGCAAGGGCAAGGAGTATCTTTGAGAGCAGATGATTCATTTCTGCAAATCAGCAATGTCAGCTATCACCAGTGGAATGAGCAGAATCTTCCACTCTGTCAGTGCACTACACAAGCCATTACCACGACGGAAACTGCTCTCACTACACAAAATGAAAAGTTAACCCCAAGTGATTTCTTCCTGCTTGCTAACCCTTCCAAGGCACTAATGCCTTGCAAAATGCCATTATAGTCCCAGTGGAGTATTTAAAGCGTGTTTTCTCCACTGCAATATGCGGTTTACAGAAATGGTTTTAAGCATTCTGTAGCTTCTCTAGACTCATTCATAGAGTTAGCAACGATACTACATTAGAAAAGGAATATTAACAGACTGTTTATATTGTATACTATATATTATATATCATATATTATATACTATATATCATATAGTATATATTATATTTATATAACAGCTTTATTAATGTTAATTTATTTGAAATTACCTAAACTGAATAAAATCTATTGTCCCTCATGCTAGATAAATTGATCAAATTTACTCTGCTGAGCTCCAGTCTATACACCAGTGCAGAAAGCTCTGCATCCCTGTTCAATTCCATACATCAGAACACAGAAGCTAAAAAACAAAACTCACAGTCAGACTAGGACAGTGCTGAACAATCTCTTTGCTACTGAGACTTAAGGTACCAATTAACTTGCTAAAACTCCCTTTAAAAGATTTCAAATATCAGTGGATGTTTGTAGGATAGTTTTGTACTTGGAATCAGAATGAATTAACAGCAATATCTTGGAGCCTGGGAAAAATTAACTCTTGGTATCAGTGCTAGAAATGGATCCATCCTTATTTTACCAGATATTCAACACAGATTTGGGTGCAGTATTTCAAATACGGGTCCATGCATAATTATCATTAACCCTGAAGTATCCGATTCTTCAAGATTTAGGAGCTTCAGGGACTTCCTACTATAAACCCGGACATGTACTGACCACTTGGAAAAGATAGCTTGTCATGGTTGGTCATACAAGAATCACTTCCAGTCCATGGAAGGGTGAATGGCAAAGAAACATACTCCTGAATGGCCCTGTAAGGGAGTGACTATCATTGACCTCACCCAAATTTCACGCAAAAATCTCTCTACTTCAATCAATGCCTCTAGAATGCCAAACGCCCTGGCTATTGTGCTGAAATTCATCTTTCCATACATATCTATGTTACAGTACCACAAAAACCTGCATAAATAAAAGGTGTGTGAGGAGAGGAAAAGGCAAAACAAAACTAAAATTTCTGGGGATTAGTTCTTACCTGTGTCTGGTGCACTTGAACCAGTTCAGTATGTCAGTACATCTTGTATAATAGATCTGATCAAAAGGATGAGCATAAGACTCCTGGACTGTCACAGCATAGCTAGGAGTAGACAGAGAAAAGAAGTGAAAGGCTGTTTGTTGCAACCTGAAAAGCTTCAGTTCCCTGTATATGCTACTCATCTAACTTCAGTATGAAAAGACTTAAATCAATAATCTCAGAAACTTTGGGCATTATTAAAAATCAAAAAAAGGGCTTCCTTCAGCCACAGCTCTGCCTGAAAATTCTGGCAATGCTGCTAACTTTGGCTCCATAACAGAAATAGAGATTTCAGTCTGAGTAACAAACCCTTCCCTTCTGGAAAAAGGACTAAATTCATGGTAGTTTAGACAGTGAAAAGGGTATTTGGTTGACTTAACGCTGCACATTTTAAAAGAGAGGAAAACACCATGGTTTTAAAACATCCCAGTTGCCTTCCTGCCTAGGACTGTCGATTTTTGCTTATACTCCAAAATAGCAGTTAGAGTTTGTATTAACTTAGCTATGCTGCATGGTGCCACTGTGATGGGATGCTGACACATGATTTTAGGATGAAGCAGCACCACTACTTCAACTATTGGGAGCACCAATCAAATAGAATCATTTATAGAAGATGTTGAAGAGTGTTTATTCTTCTGCTGCACAAATTAAATCCTCTTAATCTGTAGCAGAAATAACCTCAGAACTATGTGAAAACTGTAATGTGAGTTAACTGGTATCTAGATTTGGAACATATGGTTAGAATAGGATTAGCTCTCTTTGTACAAATGAATGGATAAAAACCAAAATTGGGCGAGTTGGTTAGAAATCACAGAGCTCCAACAACACTAAGAATTTATTAATCTCCTTCCCAAAATGCTATTTATTCATGTATCAGGTACTATATTAATTGCTATGATTATACTGAAAGTGTCCAGGCTCCTTGTGCGATAGAGGAATACAAAACTCATGGACTTGTGTCAGTCACTTCGGAACACTGTATTGCCCTATAGTGAGTGTGTGCACTGTCCAAGAGACTCAATCTCAGGTTCTGATCTGGAAACAAGCTCAGCTTTATCAGATCTACAATATCTTTGGAGAATGATGCTGGAATCATTCTAGGCAGGGTCAAGACACAAGAATCAGACCCTCCAAATCATTCATTATAGCGATTGTTTTAATCCTCCAAGTGATTTCCTTCTTGTCAGTGGGACTGCTGATACGATTAAACCCTGTGAGATTTCACCCGTTAGGTAATACCAAAATATTTGCTTGGAGGGTCTGACTGGCTTGAAATCGAAGGCTGGACTATTACTGCCCTGCTTGTCATGCCCCTTCTAGACAAGCCAAGATTCTACAAGATGTTGCTTTTGCCCTCTGTCACAGTTTGCTGGGTTTGACAATAATGATTTTACTGCCACTAATGGCAAAATGTAAAATATTTACATTGCTCATTATTAACACAAAGCAGTAACGCTCAGAAATCTTGATTATTATTTTATGATCCTGGTTGTTATCCGGCAATTGCCCTAACAATCTTTTTCCTTTGATTTATTAACATCTAAGTAACAAAGTCATCTTGGTCAGTACAACCAATCAATTTTGGTATTTAATTTTTGTTTCTCCTTGATTGGGTCTCTGGGTTGCTGACTATTTTCAGACAAAATCAATATTTTATTCCTGTGCTCTGAATGCACTTCACCTCACAATACAGACTGCAAAATCCTTTCCTCTCTAGTTTTTGCTTTGCAGTTGCAAGAAACCTGCAAACAACTCTCTAAAATCAAACCACAGTGCCATTAAAATATGATTCCATCTCTGCTCTTGTTAAAAGGATTTATTTTGCTAAAGTGGACAGTAATTCATATTTGCGTGAAACTAAACCACAGAGCTGGAAATTTAGTGAGTTAAGCTTAAGAGTACAGGAAATTTAGCCTCTGCAAACAGACCCTGCATGACTGTGAACCCTATCAAAGATGGTGGGTTTCTATGTACTTATAAGAACTGCCCTGCACAGATCCACTTTTAGGATGAGGACACTGTAACAATAGAGAGAACAAGAATTACCAGGGCCTTTAGTTCTCTGTGCTTTCAAGTAGATATTCTTTGATGCTGACACAAATGTGGCAGATACAGACACAAAGTTCAGGACATACAGAATAAACCTGCACGGTGCAGCAGGAAGGGCTTAAAACTTAGTCAAAATCTCTAATAGTCCTGCTTGACCACAACCAGAAAAAAGCAAGACAGAATAAGGCCACCATTTCTCTAGGTCTCTCCATGATAAATGAAAACACCTGTGGAGTGTTCTAGCTGAAACCATGGAGGAACTTTCCAAAGTATAACTGAGCAGACAGGTAACAGAGGGGTATGTGGTCTACACACAGCTCAAGCTTTAGAACCAATTCTTTGGGATGACCCAAATTCTCAAAGCTGCTCAGAAGTACTCTTTCTGTCATGCAAATCCATGTTCTTTTGTGAGGCAGGGTGGCATTTAGCAAATTATGGCTCTTATTCTGCCCTCTGTATGTAAAGATCTAAAACAGTATGCTATACATTACCTTTCCCAATGACTACAAACATTTGGATCATCTGGGTTTAGGGACAGAGTACATTTGAGCAGAAAAGACAGAATAAGCCCTTTTAGAATCCACTTGACCAGCATATGCACCACCATTGTTGTATCTGGTGAAGAAAAGAAAGTACAGCCATTAAAGACAATTTTGAAGAAAACATCCTTCTGGGCCTTTTCACCCTTGCTTTTGTGCAAATCCAAATCCTGTGGAGTTATTTACAAATTCAAATACTTCAAAAAGCAATCAGCTAAACAGCCAATGCATTCTGAAAGAAATTTATACATTTAAACCTACTAAACCTGATGAATTTGATGATTAAGCTACCCAAGACACTGATAACCCCAATGATTCTTCCAAAGAACATTACTGCTACTGATCATTTTTACAGCTGCTTGTAATGGCAAAATAAATTACCGAGGTATTAAAAGAAACTATTCTTCCATCAGCCTATAGGCAAAAGGAAGAATACCGAAATACCCCCTTTGATTTACTTAAATGGGCTTTACTTGGGTCAATATAGTATGCTAGAGCTCAGACACAGGCTGACTACATGACTGAAGCAAAATCAATTTGCTTTCTAACTCTCAGATGGGGAATCACTTACAGTGACAGAGGTCAAAATATTGGGTCATTTTATGCAGAACACCAAAGATTAAATAAAAATATTTGCATGGAAGTTGGAAACAGATTGTATAAAATTTATTAGCTGTGGTCTCTTCATTGTGTAACAGTTCATCTATCGAATGTACTGACTTATACATACTTATTGCTCATTTGGGGCTTTGAAACCAAAGCCACAGCATTTGCCTAGAGGCCACCAATGATGTCAGTCAACAATACAAAATGGATAGGAAATATGAAGCTGCTTTTAAATGTAACATTACAGAGGTGTTAATCTGTTAAACATTAAGTCAGTAAAAAGTATTTTGAAATATCCATTTTAGACATTCACATCATCACATAATCCACCACTGAAATCAAAAGTCCCAGAAATTATTCCTGGCAGCAAGACTGCCCTAAAAATAGACTGAAGCTTCATATGATCATCTAAAAAAACACATGGCTCGTTGCCTTATGGTCCAGAACAGCAAAAGGGAAGTTAAGAGCTTTGCTCTGCATGGCACTGATATACAGCCCAGCATAAAGAAGTTGTCACAAAGCAGAATGAACAGCGGAGGGACAGCCAGGAAAGCTGATCTGAAACTACCTCCTGATTCAAAGCCTTCTTAGCCAGTTCAAGGACACCCATTACCTTTAGTGGATTTGAAGTCAGGATCCCAATGGGAGTAATAGCTCATCTTTTGAATTATTCCTAGAGCGCAGCTAAACCCAAAGATAGGTCTTAAGCCATGTAAGTCATATTAATGTTAATTAACATGATAGAATGCTAATGCTCCTCATGAAATGGATTTAAGCCTGGGAGTACCATTCCTCACCTGCAGGCTGTTTCAAGGTCCCATGGCAACAATGCAAAAGCTTACTCAGGAAATTAAGAGGGCTGATGGCACGAGAGGGAGTTCTGTTTGTTGAAAAGACGCTCACTGCGCTTGTCCTAGACATGGAGGAAAATGTCCTGATGGGGCTGACCAGGAAGTGCTCATGGGACAGAAGTTCAACAAACCTAATGTTCAAATCCAGAGCTTGAGTGTAAATTGAACTTTCTTTTAGCATAGAATGTACCAACACATGTGAACTATGAAGTAAGAGGCTCAACAAAATGACAGACACGCTTTTAAACAAAAAAAATCTTCGAAAGATGACTTTAACGTACTAAAGTACCTGCCATTTGAATAATGCCAAAATACAGAGGACAACGTACTGGGTACTGTGTTTATAGGTTGCAATTTAACCCCTTTCTTCATCCTCTGCATCTTTGGTTCCTGGTAAGACTGAAGAAATTGGACCAGAGGAAAGCCTACTTCTGATCAACACAAGTATCAAAGCAAGGGCAAGGCAAAGCCACTTAAGGAAATACAATCCTTAATAGAGGGGGTTTTAAATCAAAACATGGGTCTGTGCTCAGTTTGTCGACTTCTAGACAACATCAACAGCCTGGGTTTATCCCTAAATTAATTAGAGGCAGAAAGACAGCTTGACTTCTACATCAAGAGAGCTAGCCTCTTCACATTTAAATAAAGCAGCTCTATATTTGAATTGTGTAGTTCTTAGAGATGTCAGCTTGTTCTTAAGAAAACAAAGTATCAGTTTGGGTTTTAAACCAAACACCAAAGAATTATTTATAAGACTTAACAGCACACAGAATATTTGTTTGTAATATATTTGAAAAAGGTTCAAACTTGTTTTCTAAACTTTGAATGCTAATACGAATTTATTATCTGTTTAGAAATGAACTGCTTTGTGCAATTAATTTTCCAACTTTGTAAGTCAGATCGCATATCAGAAACATCCAACTTGCCAGATAAAGCGGAACCTCATTTATCTCAAGTGTCTCTTTTCCTAACTCATATGAAATATTTCACTTTGATCACTGTTAATAGAAAAGACCTCATACCAAAATGGAATGGTTGCTATTACAAGATTCAGAATAAAACTCTAAAAATAGGAACACATATATTAAAAACCAACATCAAAAAAAAAATCCAGTAATGACATCTAATACATTGGGATTTTTTTTCAGCTTTTATTGCTCACCACCATCATAGAATCATGGAATGGTTTGGGACAGAAGGGAAGTTAAAGCTATTCCAGTTCCAACCCCCTGCCATGGGTAGGGACACCTCACACTAGACCATGTCACACAAGGCTCTGTCCAAGCTGGCCTTGAACACTGCCAGGGATGGGGCAGCCACAGCTTCTCTGGGCACCCTGTGCCAGTGCCTCAGCACCCACAAAGGGAAGAACTTGTGCCTAAGAGCTCATCTCAATCTCCCCTCTGGCAGGTTAAAGCCATTTCCCTTGTCCTGCCCCTACAGGCCCTTGTTCCAAGCCCCTCTCCAGGTTTCCTGCAGCCCCTTTAGGCACTGGGACCTGCTCTAAGGTCTCCCCTTAAGGATCCTTCTCTTCTCCAGGCTGACCCAGCCCAGCTCTCTCAGCCTGGCTCCAGAGCAGAGCTGCTCCAGCCCTCACAGCATCTCTGGCCTCCTCTGGACTCACTCCAACAGTTCCATGTCCTTCTGATGTTGGACGCCCCAAAGCTGAAGGCTGCACTCCAGCAGGCTCCCGTGAAAGCAGAGAACAGGAGATAGATCCTACACTCCTACATTTCGTTTAATGTTTGGAACATATTCTCCAAGGAGGCAGCATCAGCTTTTCAGGGGGATAAACCCCATACCTTCATTAAAGATGTAGCCTTTAACAAGAAAACAAATGGCACAGAGGTCCTCTGCGCAGTCCCTAAATGCACTCTAACTTTTTCGTCTTTCCAGGCCTGATTTTTCTTTTCAGGAGTGAAAGAAGTCAATTTAAGTAAGATTTGGCACAAGAGAAGGGTTTTTGGTCCAAAATAGAAGCTGGTGATTTCTCACACGTGTCTCCCTCTCTGCTGATTACAACAGATCAGGTTAGGTATCTGATGCTTATTGAGCCATTTTCACAAACCTCACTCCTTTTTGAATGAATTTCAGCATTTCACCTACAATATTGACACAGATCACTGGTTCCAGTACAAAAGAAACACACTTTCACTGTTAAGCCCCAAATCTTAGCTGCAGACAAACTGGTAGGTGGCAAGTCATTGACTTATCTGTCAGTGGATTCACCTCACAAAAATCTCTGTTGAGGAAACTGTGCAGGGGTTTGCAAGGAGACCAGGAGATGCAGGTGATAGTTCAAATTGGACAAAGCACACCAGAGCGTGGACAAAAGCACGTCTGTTACTCTCTTCTAGAGTTTGTACAACACAAGCTGAGGATGACAGTACCACTCAAGATTAGACCTGTGTGCAGAGAAAATAAGACCCCAAAGAATCCTTGCTGGGTGAAGGAAGTATCCCCTTAAGCTTTCTCTAGGTGTTGAGTACCTGGTTTTGGACAATATTCTTGGGAAAGAGGACTACTGCATACCGGTATACTGGGAGTAAAAAGCAAGCCAAAACCTCAGGTTAAATTTCTCTTCTGTTTCCTGGGCTGACAGACTAGAAAATTTAACTAAAAATGACCGGGGCAGTAGTGACACGTCTCCTTTTGACATCCCTGTCACAAAAGGTTTCATAACATGACTTCGACATGAAATTCAAACAGAATTTCCAGTCCATGACAAAGTTGTAAATGGAATGTTTTTCTCTCAGTTTGGTATGGAATGAGCTTGGTGTCCAGCTGTAAAAAGGGAAAATATTTACAGAAGTGTCTTTCATCAGCATGCAATATTCTTAAATCCTTATGTACTTTTGAAAATCGTTCCTTTCGATGTCTAAATGTATATGCAGTTTATTAACCTGACTTTTCTCCACAAATTTCCATTTAACAAGGAGCCATGTTAAAAAAGTCTTACCTCAAAGTGCTAAAAATTCCTAATGGATCCTGGCTTTACAAACTCTCAGCACATGAAGACACAGAGCACATTAACAGGATAGCAGACAAAAGCTCCTCAGACATCGCTTGGCCCTGTGAGCAGTCAGTTTGAAAGAGAGAAAACATATTGGGTCAAAGAAAGTGTGTTTGGGGGAGGGGAAAAAAAATAAGACAGAAATTATATATATTTAGAACGGTTTATCTCGTAAGATAATGGTGTTATACCACACCACAGAGCACTATCTTGTTTTAAGCCAATAGCAAGTGTCTAGGATGGAGTGGAAGAAGATGGTTGACAGTAACATGTCCTTTTCAACCCTTGTAGCTTCCAGCTATTTGCAGCTTCCTCAGCCACAAGTGGCAACAAGTGTTTAATAGATGTAATGGGTTCTAGCCCAGTAATTTCTCTAACCATTTCTGATCCATTAAAATGGAAATTTCAAGCCCCTAAATCTAAATTTTAGTGTGAGTAACATCCTGGGATGGTCTCACATCTTAGCCATGGATGGTATCAAAAACTTCCTTCGGTTTTACATCTGCATCCTCAATTTCATTTGATACATTTCCTTTGTTAGAAATCAATCAACAATTCTTAGACTTTGTTTCCTGTCTTTTCCTATCACATAAACAACATTTTATTTACATACAGATGTTTCCTTCTGTAATATCCCAACAAAAAAGTTGAGTTTCTTTCAGGAAGTTTGATGAAAGATCTTGAAAAAGCCCTCTGGAAATCTAACTGGATCTTTGTGATCCACATGTTTATCTCAAAGAGCTTTAACGATTCATGGTGCCTTTACAAAGCCATGTTGATTCTTCATAAATATATTACATTTTTCAAGAGATTCCCTCATTCTGTTCTTAATTACAGTTGCTACCAAATAAGAAAATTGAGGCACATCAAAATTCAAATCTATTCTAGTATTTGTGTGTGAGCAATTGAGGAAAATGCCAGAGAAGAGTTAAGCCAGAAAACAAGAAGCTGGATTTCACTGAAGGAGCATTAAAGTGACTGAGTGTTTGCTGATTACATTATTTTAGTCTCAAAGTAGTAGCAAGTTTCCAACAAGCTGCCCTCAGTGGCATTCCTTCTTCTCATCCCATCTGAAATTTTCACCATACTTTAGGCAAGGGATCATTTAAACACTCACTTCACTTGGCTCTACATCAGGTTTTATTCGAAACAAGCTGTTAGGAAGCTAAATGAGGCCATCAGTTTCAAAACTGATCAGGATTTTTTGGATGCCTCTACTTATGATTAATAACTCGAGATACCGTGAAAGGGCTGAAGAATATGCAGAGCTCAGAAAACACGCTATGAAAGAAGCTGGTTTAATGTGGGCAGTCAAGAACTAAGCCATTCAAACTCACTAGTCACCTCTAAAAATTGGTGCTACAACCAAGAGTAATATTGCCAACAGCAGGTTGTGGTTTTGGTTTGTTTCTAATGAAAATTTAAAGCTGTTTCAAACAGATAAACATTTTAGGAAGGAGCGCGTACTGCATACAAAAGCACTGGCACTTATCATCTGAGCACAGAGAAATTCAAGTGATAGAAGTAGCAGAAACACTAGGCTATGCACCGTATTGCTGGATTCTCTCTCCTGACATCTTGCATGATTAAGACAGTAGACAAAAAGCTGCCTCTGTTAACAAAAGATGATACTTCAGTTAACAGGGTCTATTTAAACCTCTAGAAGTCATTGTACTGAGGGCAAATTATTATCCCTTACATGCAGGCAAAACAGCTGGTGTGTAATTTTTGCTAAAAAACCCCATGCTGTCAGTCACATATCCAGCTTTTCCATGTTCTCTCAAGCACTGCTTTCTCTAAGGTTTGTGTGCATCTCTGCCTGTGATGTCAAGAAGGCAGTTCAATAGCTGGAAATACTTGAGTACATACAGAAGTCACTGCTATTCACAAACGTCCCTGATATCATTTCCAGACATAAGTCTCTTCTCGCCTGGAGGTGACACAGACAAGGGGAGAAACAGCTGACCAGGACAGCTCAACTGCTTCTGACCTTCAGCAGGTTCCTCTGCAGTCTCCTGGGACAGCTCGTGGCACAGGACCAGTTTGTACAGTTGAAGAGGCCAATCCCAGCAGTGGCACAAGCTGGGAAAATGCCAACAAGATGTACAAAACTAGGAGCTTTCTTCCCTTACAGTTGAATTCATACAATGGAGACAAGCTTCTTCCAGCTTTGCCCTTCTAGTCATAGGGGTAATGCCAATACACCTAAGCAGGAATTGGAACTTCTCAGGATAAAAGTATTCTATGCTCTGTAGGTTAACCTAGATCATGCTAGCCAAAGATCGTGGCTGAAGTTACAATGGATGTTGTGAATGAAACAAATTAAACAATTCTGTGGTACTTTCTGGAATCAACAGGACTTGGAAAATAAAAGAATAAAAGCAAAATTTAGATATTTTTACAGTTTATGGAGAAATTATCAAGGAAAATGAAGAGCTGCATCCAGAGTCCTGTTTGCTCAGTCTTAGCCGAGCCTCTTCTGCTACATCATCCAGTGAAGCAAGTGCTGTTCAGTGCAAATAAAAGAACTAATTCCATTTCCAAAGATGTAATTTTAGAGGCTTTCTGATAAAGACTGGATAAACACACCAAGGTCCTAACTGTTATAGTCCACCTATTTTCTGTATCCCTCACACTCCTTGAACCACAGCTGCTCAGTTTTCCAGTAACTAGGTGGAGGGCTGATTTTAACAGGAACCAAGTGTCCAAATCTCTTAAATTGCTCTAAATCTCTAAGCTCTAAAATGTGTCAGTGTAAGTTGCAGTTGCTACAGTGAATTTTTTTACAGTTCCATGGGTATCTTATGAAGTCTGAAGATGTGCTTCAGTGCTGAGCCCTCTTATAAGCTCACTTCCACTGGAGTCAGTGGAAGCTTGGCTAAAGCAAAGCAAGAATAAATAACAAAGTAAGCTCTTCTCAGTCTATTAAATGTTATTTTTGAAGCTCTTGATTGTTCCTTCAGTGTTCTCAGAGGAAAACTGGGAAAAAAATCCACAGAGATGTGCTACTAGGCAAGTAATCCAAGCAATCAGATTGGCTGTGGTTAATGAAATATGCTTATCAAGACACATACGTATGGCGTGTCTGTCTGGGATCCAGAGTACCTGTGTTTAAACCCTACTGTCACAGACTTAAGGCCTGACACTGGGTTAGCAAAGTGAGCGAGACTGAGATAGCTCAAATTCCCAAGTTCTGCATCTAGTATTTTCTGTAGGCTGCTCTGAGCCCTGAGGCACCCAACCTCCAAAACATCAGATGAAACTGAAGTTCATAAGTCTCAGTGTGTTCCACAGGAAGCAGAGGAAGAGGTCTGCCCAACCTGCCAGGTACTTTAGGAATAAGCATACTACAATCTGAAAAGTGATTAGATGCTGAAGCAACAGCATCTAAACATGTTTGGTATTATCCATCCACTCTGAGATCAACAAAGAAATGCAGCCAGCCCTGCTTCATCAGCACTTACACAAACCAAATATCCCTGCACCCTTGTGCAAAGCACAAACACCATTTCAACAAGCTATAACTCATTACAATACTAAATTTCTTTCTCTTAGATAACTGAATAGTTAATCAATAGTCCAGCAGAAATATAATGAAAATATGACATTAACAACACCTAAAAACATTGCTGAAACAGTGCCCAAGCACAGATAATTGCTGGCTCCTTTTCAGAAAGGTCAGCATGGAAAAATATTATCTCTGATTTTTCAGCCCATAATTTTGTACTTGTACTCAACTACCATGTAAAGTTGGAAGCCAGCCCTCTGAACATGTGGTCCTTTAAGTTATTAATCCAAACTCAAGTCCACTGAAATGTCAGTGTTCCTTGTAGTGCCTAAGCCCATCAGGACAGGGAGATGGCTGACGTTCCACCAGCACCTTCTGCCAAAAGCAAGTTGGTGTCGGCAGGCTTTGAAGGCAATATCCTGGTACCCTGCAGAATTTCAACAGAAGACAACCTCCTGCAAGCTTAGAAATCCTCCTGACGCAGCCATCTCTGAACCCTCTCAGTTAAAACATGGTAAACGAGGAAAGTAACGAAGAGCCTTTCCATGTATTTGCCGGCTTAACCTGATCTCACCATCCAACTGCAGCCATAAGGGGATGGCAGAAGAAGGCAGCCAAAGTGCTGCAGTGTCCCCTGCACTGATCCCAGTCTTCTGGCACAGTGGAGTTTTGAAGCTGCTGAAACTGTGTGGGGAGCCACATTCTCTACTGATCTAACAATATATTTATATTCACTATCCTACGCATATTTCAGCTACTCCTTCACAGACATTACTTCAGCAGAGAAAGTAAGCTGACACACATCAAAAAGCTCATCTTCTGAGAACTCAAGTTAGCTTGCTTACATATAGCCACCCACCTAATCCATGTTCAAGATGACAAACAATTACAACATATGCTTCCTTAGACACTTGGAGCAACAAAGACCGTGTATCCCTAGAACACCCAGGATAAATAAAGCAACCTAAGCATTACAGGATGAGATGAGGAATAATGTGTTTATAAGTATTTAGCTAAGAAACCCCAAGCAAATTCCAACAGGATTTCTTTGTAGAGCATTTAAAGAATGCACATGAAGTTGTTCTGAAACTGGGAGAAACAAGCAATGACATATAAAGATTTCAATATACCTGCAGTGAAATAAATTAAATATGATTTTGTGAACGTCAGGCAAAAAAGGAGCTGTTTGAAAATGTGGACTATCCTTGAAGGTTGTATTTTTAAAGATGACTCTTATTTATCAAGAACAATGGGCCCCTTCTTTTTGTCTTCATTTATCTTAGAGGAAAATCAAATGAAACAAACAGCAAAAAAGTCCCAAGTACAGTGAACAGCTGAGCCAGGGACAAATTAAGTAACACAGATTGATGGCTGTTGATCTACAGCAGCACTATCACATCCCAGTGCTACATCTCACATTTCATTTAAAGACCCGTCTCTTCCAGAAACAGTGCAGTATTTATGGGAGAGGCTGATTTGCAAGCCTTGGAGCTGCACTGAGAATCCAGATTCACTTTGTCCAATTTGGCTTGAAAGTTGGTGAACGCCTTG